GGTGATCACAGCGGCGCTGCTGGATGCGTTGGTGCTGCTGCGCATGGCGCCCGTCCTGCTGCTCTCGCGAGTAGTACTCCCAATCGTGTTGCTCGCAAAGGTCGCCTGGGCGCCGATGCAGATGTACTGGTGGCGCGGGGAAAGTAAGATGTCATACAACATATTATATGTTTCATCTCTCGCACACTTGCTCCGTTACATTTCGTTAGATGCGCTTCGCTTAACTTTGGCGCTATGCGGTACAAGTTATTGTGCCCCCTCTGTCCAGGCCGCCTGGCTTATAGTCGGGACGCAGAGCAGGACCACAGAAGGCCCCGAACGAACAAACCAAAAAGGTGCTGCGTCTGGCACTGGACGTGCTGAGGAATGTGCCAGTAACGTTATTTGTGGCTGCGGTGCTGCTGGTGGCCGTCGTGCTGAGCAGCCGAGGTTTGAGGGGTCGTGATACAGCACTCCATCGTGCTAATCAGTCACGTACTGCTGAAGCCTGTCAGGCTGCTCCTCGTCGTGTTGCAGACGACCGTATGGCCGAGCAGAAGTAATGCTGCACGCTGTCGTGCTGCTCAGCGCCGTACTGCTCGGGCTCCCATCGTGCTGCCTATCGCCGTGCTGCTGGCATCCGTCGCGATGCTCATCCGTGCACTGCTGGTAAACCGGGTCCAGGAAATGCCGGCCCATTCTCCGCCACGGGGTAGCGGATGGGCCCGAACGAACGCCCAAGCAAAGGGTAGCCCAATACAGTATGCCGCGCTGCGTGCGCCGCTTGCGGCCTTCGTCAAGACACCAACGTGGTACTACTGGAAAGCGTCGTCGGCCCGAGTCGGAGAGCTGGTCGGCACGGGAATCGGCGAGCTGGACGGGCTGAAAATCGGTGTTTTGGTCGGCGCTGGAGTCGGCGAACTGGTCGGCACGGAAACCGGTGAGCTGGCCGTTGCGGGAGCCGCCAAGCTAGTGCGTGCGGGAGTCGGCGAACTGGTCGGCACGGAAACCGGTGAGCTGGCCGTTGCGGGAGCCGCCAAGCTAGTGCGTGCGGGAGTCAGCGAATTGGTCGGCGCGGGAGTCGGCGGGCCACTCGACGCAGGAGTCGGCGAGCTGGTCCGCGCGGGAGCCGGCGAGCTGGTCGGTGAGGGGGTCGGGGGGCTGGTCGGCGCGCAGGTCGGTGAGCTGGTCGGCACAGGAGTCGGCGAGCTGGGCACCGCGGAAGTCGGTGAGCTGGTCGGTGCGGGAGCCGCCGTCACAGATCTTTGCCTCCCGGGGCACTCGTCTGGGGCCTCAGGCGCCCACTGAAGCCTGTCCGAGGCCGTCCAGCGCACCTTCGGAGGCCGTTCACAAGGCATCTTCGGCGTTGTCGGGTTGCGATGGACCGGTCCGGTAGACTATCGTACCGATTTTTGGGCTATCTGCGCGAACACGGGGCCACTGTGGAAGCCACGAGGGCGCTCGTGGGGCCCCCGGAGCCCCCATGCCCCGCCCCCTCCCTTTGCCCCCGACAGGTTCCCGGTGAGGATGGCCCCCGCTCCCCCTCCTGCAGCAACTCATGAGAGCATCGCATAACATCTTGTGGGCTCTTGCGAATCGACGCTAATCGACGCTACATCGAGGCTAAATCGGCCGAACCTATTTGCCAATCGACGCCGGTGTACCCTGAAGACCGGAATTGCGAAGGCAAACGCGACTCCCATGCTTTGCTACCGAATCCTCTCTGCGTGGGCTCTGCAGGCAGAGCGCTAGAGGTGCCGGCAGGCCCCTCGACTCGATCGCCCCTCCAGAAGGGGCACGTCCCGTCTTCGAGAGCAAGGACGACAAGCTGCCACGGAAAACTTTCTCATAGACCAGTCCTTCTTCCACGCATGTCACGGCATGAAGCTCTCCACGGACAGTTGAGTCTTGAGCCTGGAGCTGCCGAATCCTCCTGTGAATTCATGCCCGAAGGCCACCCGCAACGGCGCGCGTCGCTCAGCCCGCTCCACCGCCCTCGCCTGGCAGAAGGCAAGCAGCGCGCCCGTGCGCTCCGCGCGCCAAGGGAGCCACGCACTGCTGCCGATGCCTCGGCGCCTGCGGGCCCTCGCTCCCGCCGGCCTGCCCGTGAGCGGCGGCAGAGCAGTCACGTGAGCAGACCTGGGCGCGCACGGTCGCAGACAGCGCTCCCGCGGCGAGGACCGCACGGGCACGGCGGTGAAACGTGAGAACACAGTGCCCCCCCCCCCGCACAGGCCCGCACGCACGCGCACGTCACCGGATCATTACGCGCCGACGGCCGGAACGCCCGCACATGCGGGGCACATGCCCCGCACACGCCCGCACAACGAGCGCACATGCCGAGCCCAAAAACGCCAGCACCGAACCCGAAGCAGGCAACAGTACATGAGTCAAGTGCAGGCTTCCGGAAGTCTGCCGGGACTTCTTGGATCAGCGCCGGGCCTTCCACCAGAGGGTCCTCGGCGAGGCGCAGGCGATGTAGAAGGCTCGCGGACCCAGCTCTGTCCAGAAGAGCCCGAGAAACTTACGGGGGACATCGTGCAGGATCCCTGGCAAGCCCTGGGTTGCTCACGGACTAGCAACATGACAATCAGCATAACATGCACTTTTGGAGGTCCGCGCCGATTTCTTGGGTCGGATCTGGGCCCCCCCCTCTCTGTCGCGCGGCTGCGCGCTGGAGGCGCCGCCAGAGGCGCCGCCCAGGGGGGCCGCCAGCGCCGATCCAAGAAATCCGCGCGGGCTTCCGAGCTTCTGCTCTGCGTTCGGCAGTCAACGTGGAGGGGGGGGGGCGCCACCCCCGCCGACAGCCCCCCGCCGACAGCCCCCAAAACGACCCCCGTCGCGGGCAAACATTGCCGTGCGACGTCGATCCCGATCGGCCCACGCCCGCGCACCGCGAGACCCAGACCCTGCCCCACGGGCGCGGGCAGGTTGTCGTGGACCCCGTGAAAAAGGGCGACGACCCTCCCATGCTTATCACCAAACGCATGGTATGCTCATGCCGCGTCTTTTCCTTTTCCGACTAAGGAGGAGGCGGAGGAGGAGGAGGAGGAGGAGGAGGAGGAGGAGAGGAAGAGGATGACTTAGCATGGGGGAGACGGGTCCTGAGAGAAACGGATGCTAGACCCCGGGGCCTTCCCCAAGACGAGTTCTTCATCCTGAGCCGTTCTCTGACAGGTCCCGGGGCCCGTGGAGGGCCCCGAGAGCCCGAAAACGGCGGCAAACCTCGGGACCCATGGCGAGAGGGCCCGCGCAGCTCCGCCCGTGGCCGCGGCCTGTCGCAGAAGTAGTCCAGCCGGTCGCACTGCTGGGTGATGCGGTTGAAGGCGGGCTGGCCGCCGTCCTGCGGAGGGCAGGGTGGGGAGCAGGGGAGGGGGGCGGGGAGGGGAGGCAAGGAGCGCGAGAATCAGACGAAGCCATGACGAGGGAAAAATCGGGTGAAGATACGTCGAGAATCTCTGAGATCTGGCGGCTGCGTGCGCCCTGAGCTTCTCAGAGCGTTCCAGAGAGCTCTGAGAGCGTGCCGGAACGCTCTGGAACGAATTCTTCTTCGTCCGTCGTCCAAAGGGAGCGCGAGAAGGAGAGAAAGGATGGTGCAGGAGCAGCAGCAGCACCGGATGCCGCACAAGGTGCATCAGTGGGGTGGGGGAGGAAAGTGGAGGAGGGCCAGCAATGGCGTCTCCAGAAAAGCCGCGCAAGCGTACGCATGGAGATGGGCAGCAAGGACAGAACTAACAAGAGGAGTGACAGGAGGGCGAGGGGGAGACGGAGGAGGATGAGCTCAAGGGTATCGCGTTTACTTTCAACCTGGTTACTCGACCGATCGATCGACAGAACGGTAAGGGCAGAGGTGGTGGCGAAGGGAGGTCAACATCGAAACGCCAGAACCGACGCATGGGCGCTCAGAACATTCGCCAAGATGCTGCTGCTGCTGCTGCGCTGTTTTTTTTTTCAGGAAACACCCAAGCATGCAAGTACATCTCCCCATCTGATAAGCCTGGGAAGAAGCGGAATAGAGACAGAGAGATGATGTTGACGACTGAGAGCAAGGCTGCCCCTCCTGGTTCATCATCTCGACAGCGAGCTCTTCAAGCTGGGACCTGGACCTCGGTTCCCCGCTGGAAGCCAGCGGTCTCATAGTTTGTATTTGTGTTCGCCGTCGCTGTCAACGTCGATTAGGTATCAATTGAGATAACTTGTTTTCCTGAGGCACGACCTTCCTAACAATCCATGAGCACCAGGAACCAGGGAGGCTCGGACTGCACCTCGCTTAAAGGCGTGGAGCTGAGGCTCACACGAAGTACCCTCGGTGAGGGGCAGGACAACAAAATCGGTGGCACGGGTACGGGTCGCCCGCCAGAGATTTCCAGTCGGTCGCAGAGGCCTCGGGCACCCAGGCTCTCGCAATGAGCCCCTTTGGCCCAGGGGGCCAGGGAAACTTCCCACTCAGAAGCATCGAAACTTGCTTCGGCCTATGGTTCTAGTCCGCACCAAGCGTTCAGCAGGCATATGTGAATTGATACGCCGCAGGTTCCTATGCGAAAGCACAACCGGTCGCTGCAACGTTTTGGCTGGAGAGCCCTGCGCCGAAGAGAAGGAGGAGTTTTTGTTCGCTGCCTGCCTGTGGTGCATGCTCCGCATCTCCTGCGGAGCACCGCCCCCAGGCCCGAGCGGAGCACACGGGCCACCCTGGACGCAACACACAAAAAGGTGGGGCAGGCGGCTCCAGGGGGGCACGGAGGGAGGGGGAACGGAGCCCACGTTCCGAGGCACCCGCGCGCCGCACCACGGTTCGTCAAAGGTCCGCGCACCGCTGATGCCATGCTGTCGGCCGTTGGCCCCGCGCGTGCCCTGGGCCAAAAAACGGGGCCCACTCGGCACGCCGCGGCGCCGCCCGGCCCGGCGCGGAGCGGGCTCCACGGGGCGGCGGCGGCCCGGCGCCGGGCACGGCCGGCGCTGGCCAACGTCTGCCCCCGCGGGGCTGCTCAGCTCTCCGCAGCATTCATCGGGGCGCTCTCCTCCGGCGCCGAGGCGCTGGCCGCCGCTGGGGCCGCGCCCCGGCGCCCGAGCGCCAGCGCGGTCCCTCCGAGCACCGCGGCGGCCCCGAGCGCCGCGGCAGCGCCCGCCGCGGGGCCCGTGGGCCACCGCCCAGGGCGCGGCGGGCCACCGTCCGCGGAGTGGGCGGCAGCGGCGCCTGCAGGCGGGGCGGCGGCTGCTGCTGCCAGAGGGCCGACGAAGGCCTTGCAGAGGAAGCAGAACTCGCACTGGAGCCGCACCTTCGCCATGGCCGCGCCGCAGGCGGGCCCCGCGCCGGGGGTGGCGGAGCCGTTTGCGTGGAGCTCCTCCAGGGCCTCCTGGAAGAGATCGCAGCACGGCCTGTTGCACTCTTCCAGGCCTTCGACCTCCATGCATTCAAGCTTACAGCCGTGGCCCTCGTACTTGCACGCCTCGGTTCCAGCGGAACAACTCGGCACATTCTCTGACGTGGGGGGGCATTGCATCAGCTCCCTGAGGGGACCTTGGGCAAATGCTTCTGAGGTGTCGCACATGCTGTACGGGGAGAAACAATTATTGCATTCGCTGGGCCAATGCACCGGGGATGAACCGAAGCTCGATATGAAGCCGAAGGTGCCACCAGCCAAGGCGCCATCGCTGGCCGCTACAGTGATGGGCTGCTGTATAGCGCCTGTTGTGGCGCCTGCCTTCCAAGGCCCCTGCAGGGAGAGGTTTGTGGGCGCGACTGGCTGCAGATCATGGCCCGATGCCATCATCGGAAAGGCAGTAGTTCCCACAGGGAAAGTGCTGGTCAGCTGAACGACCTTGAACTCTGCCAGGTTCTCGGGAGGTGTTGCTGTCCCAGAAAAACCGATGGTTTCACATTGCACACTGTTTCCATCAAAGCTGAGACACCGGGACAGCGTGCATACGCTGACGGACAAAGGGCATGGTGTGCCCGATATGTAAGCCTTCCCGCTGAACGCTCGCAACAAGTAGGTCACCTTGCTCCCGTTCGGCGCGGCGCGAGTCACTTGCGCAGAGACCGAGCAGGATGCCGCCCCATCGGCTGTCTGGATTGTGCTGTTCCAGATGCCGACGCCAGGAGACTTCAGCCGCAGACACTTCCCAGCGAAACCCGTCGAATCCACCAACTCGGCCACCTTTGGATTCGTGTATGACGCGGCGGGTCCAAAAATGTCAGCAGGCGAAGTCTCGCCCATGCCGACCACGAACATCGTCAGGAATGGCTCCACCACAAGGCCCAGGCAATCCTCGACGTCGGCCACCTCGGGCCACACTGCAGACTGCAGGTTCTCAGTGCTGGCGTCGACGCTTTCTGGGACGCGTCGACCTGGCGAAGCGCCAAGGGGTGGAGAAATCATATCGCCGATGAGGAGGTCGTCGCAATCAGCTGGCGTATCGTATGGTGGGCTAATGCCGAGGATGAGTGGGACACACCCTGGCCTGAAACTCACATTCAATATGTCCCCATTGGAGTAGAGCCCCGAGCCAGACGAAGTTAGTGAGGTGGAAGCACCAATAAGGTTAAAGCCATACGAGTAAGACACACCTGCCATGAAATTTGCCATGGTCTGTTGCGCATCGCCATCGTACCACGTGTTGGAAAAGACGATATCGGTGATGCCCTGATTGGCGTAGGACGTTAGCAGAGCCCGGTTAGTCAAGTCGAAACAAATCACTATACCGAATTTGACACCGAACGCTTCGAATACCCCAGTGGCGTTAAAATACTCACTGAGTTCTGGGACCGTCTGCGTAAGCCCATTCGTCGTGTCTTGAAACAGCGTGTGCTTGTAATACTTGGTCACTAGAGCGCCATTCGGAGCGATTACTTCGGTCGCGTCGAAGTAGTACAGAGGTCGAACCACCCCTTCTGGCGATTGCGTCTGCCAACAAAGACCTGGCGCCACATAGTTGCACGGCTGAACATCGTTGCCCTGAAAAACCAAATATATGTTGAATTTCTTCCCAATGCACGCCAGACTGCTAACTGTCCCCTGGTCATCTGGGTCACACAGATCCTTGTCTGGATCGGGAGACGGCCACTCCGTGTCATAGGGGCCATTCTCAGGAAACACTAGAATTTGAACACCATTAGCGGAAGCACGCTGGGCGTAGTCCTCAACAACTGACGGGCCATAATGCTCAGCAACCTGGGCGACTGCAGCCTTGTACGTGATCTCACCTGTTGCTGTCGTAAAGGCCATCGCTCCCGCAAGGGCGACCGCTGCACACGCCAACGATGGCATCGTACCGTCGCGGTTGTTGACTCGGCGACCTATTCGGGATGTATCACTTGAGATAGCTGTTACAATGGCTACATCCGTTCTGAAAGCGAAGCGCAAGCTAGAGTCAGGGCTTCATCCGAAATGCTGGTGTTTGAATAATCAGGGGGGCGTAAGACCCGGGTACAGGGGACTCGGAAATCCCCGACGAGGTCGTCAAAAAAATGACAAGGCCGAGCCTGCATTTTGACGAGGCCTCCCGCTGCAGACATCCCACGAAACTCCTCCTCGTCAAAATCCGATGCGCGGTCGTCAAAAAATGATGGCGAACCCGAGTCCTGGCAAACCCGGGTCTTACGCTCCCCCGGTAGAGTCAGGGCTTCATCCGAAATGCTGGTGTTTGAATAAGCCAGACACTACCTGCTCCCGCCCGGATTCTGGCCGCAATTTGCCCAGGGCCCCGCTCCAGCCCGAGACTCCCTCTCGCTTTCCGCTGGCACCACGCTCCCGCGGCCCCGCCCTGGCTTGCAAGGAGTTGCGCTGGGCTGCACAGGGGGAGCCTGGAAACAGGGGGCTGGAAGCACTTAGGAGGGCGCCGACTATACACCAACACCGATCCTGGCCAGGACCACCCTGGGCCCAGGATCGGTGTATACGCCCTCCTGCCTTGCGCAAGAAGGCATATACACCGATCCTGGGCCCAGGGTGATCCTGGGCCAGGATCGGTGTTGGTGTATAGTTGGTGCCCTCCGAGGGGGCTGGAAGCACTGGAATGCCACAGCCCCGCCAAGGACCTCCTTTGCACCGGCCCCGGAACTCCTGGGCCCCGGGCAGGAAGGGGCTCTCCGCCCGTTGCACGGCGTGGGTTCGGCGCTCCGGCCCCGGCTCTCCTCGGGGCTGCTCCGGCACTGCGCTCCCGCCACTCTTGAATCGCGCGGCTCTCCGGGAGCTTCCCGAGCATCTTCTTGGGAATCCGCTCTCGCCTCGGCACTGGCTTTCGGTCGGGCGTGTCCCCCTACAGGGGGATCTTGTACGAAGGAGCAGGAAATGGTCAAACAATACCCCAGAATGGCAAAACAAATGCTAAAACAATCGTCCCCGGACTATTTTTGAATATTCTCGCTGTAGAGGGGCGTGCTCGATTCAAAAGTGGCTGCCTGGGGCTTCCATCTGTGAAGCTGTTTCGTGCGGTCGAGCCTCTGGACACCAAGACTCCAGCCGCGGACCCCGCCCCTCCCCCCGCCTCCCTTCCACCTCGTACTCCCCTCATCTTTCGGGCGTTGGCAGAACTGGCTTTAGTGGGACCTGGTTTAGTGGTTTAGTAATGTGTACGGCCACCCCCCGCCCCATTCCACTAACAGGAACTGCCGTCACCCGAAAAACACCAGATACGGCAGACCTGGTTTGGTGATTCTGGCCATTTTAAGGGCTCTGGGGCCCTACCACTAACCGGATGCCCTTACCTTGGGTCCTGGCTATACCCGAATCTTCTCTCTTTCCCTCCCTCCCTCCCTCCTTCCCTATCGCTCGTCAACCTTCCCACTCGTGAGTCCACAATCTGTGGTCGCATGGCGTCATCATACCCTGGCGGATGCAGCGGATAAGACAAATAATTAAGGACAAGTCTGAGATCGCATGTATGTAAGATTAATGTTGTTAACATCGTCGCTGGTGGAGGGTGGGGGGGACGATAATAAGAGGGAGTGCCCCCCAGCGGCCCCCGAGAGCGCTCCGAAGAAACCCCATGAAGCATCCCTGAGGACTGTGACCCACGTGAGCGTCGTCGTCGTCGTCGCCGCCGCCGCCGCCGTCGTTGTCGTCGTCGTTCCCCTTCAAGGTCGGCGGCACCAGCCGTAAGGCCTTCGCAGTAAGTCCCCCTTGCAGTCGACATCTGGCGACAAGGGCCTCAAATGGTGAACGAAGGGGCGTCCACCGAGAACCAGGAACACAAGAAGTTCCCGACGCTGGCCCAAGGAACGCCTCAAACATTGAAGCCCCTTACGAGCCAACGGTGTTCTGTCTCTCCAGGTGGTGAGTGTAGGTGGAACACGGTGCACTGGAGGCTTCCGAAAGATTCACCGTTTATCGGCGCCCTCCCCCCCGCCTAGATGGAACGGGGGGTGCTCCCACGAGAAAGGCGGCAGGCCACCGAGCGGGTGGCCTTCGAGGAGTGCAAGAGAAAGGAACACGAGGTGAAGGAGGAGGTTAACCGCCCCCTCCGGCTCCCTCGCGAGTCCCTCCTCCCGCTCGCCTCGCCCTCCTCCCCCCTCCCTCCCCCTGGCCTCCTCGCGCTGCCCCTCTCCGGGGGGCGCGCCCGTGGCCTCCGGGCCCCCGCCCCTCGCCCCCTCTTCCTGCTCGCACGCCGCCGAGGGCGGCCCGCGCGAGGGGGGGGGGCAGACGCGCCCAGAGCGCGAATCCTCGGCCCCTCGACCCCGGAGCCTCGCGGAGCTCGCTCCTCGGGCACCCGCCGACGTGGGTCACGAGGCCGCGGATATCCGGCGCGCAAGGGCCGCGGAAAAGGGGCGACGCGCGAGGCCAGCGCCCCGAGATCTGGCGACGGAGAGCGTGGAGCGTGCCCGTTTTCCCCCCCTTCCACTTCGCCCCCTCCCGCCTCCACGCCTCCCGCCCGCCGCTCTGACCCCTCCCAGCTTCTTCCGCTTTCCACGTCGCCCGCGTGCCCATCGTGCCCCGTCTGGGCCTTCTCCGTGGCCTGCCTCCCTGTGATGCCAGAGGGCTTTCCTATCTCTACGCCCCCTTCCCTTAATGACGTGCCGTTCACCCCGCCCCCGCCCCCCCACTGCATGGAAACGGGGCCCGTCGCTAACCCACGCGCCTCGACACATGGTTGCGTCCCCTCGAGATCCTCGTGATCGTCGGCCCCCGCCCGCCCCTCGATCGGTCCTCCCTCGCGAGGAGCGCCAAACATATCCGTATCCGCGCCCTCGTGGTCTGGATTCCAGGGCGCGATCCCGCGGATACGCGGTCGCATGGGTACCTTC